CTGGGCATATAGCGTTTGATCTTGCAGTGTGTGGAAGTGTTTTAAATATTAGCTATATTTTGTTAATTTGACACTACATGTTATGTAGGTTGCAGTAGCAAACTGCAAAAGGTTACAGGACCCACTTTATTATTAACCTATAATTAATCACTGCTAAATAAAGGTTTCTTTTTGATTGTGTAGCTCTTCTATGGGCTGACTGCTCCTGTCTCTTCAACGATTAAGCCTTTTTGTCTCTCAGGTCATGATGGGAATGCTGATTTGGAGCCTTTTCAATAACTTGCAGGGCATTGCTGTAATATAGAGATTTCAGCCTCCTGTCAATGTGTAACGCAGACGGTGTACGCTTGTCAGCTGTGCAAAAAATATGAGAATATTCACATGGAGTAAATGATTGTGAAGATTCAACAGGAGAAATACAATCACCCCCTATAATCTGTATTATTAATCTTACTGTATTACAGTGTATAATACATTGTGAAATAGGTCGGACATAATGTTCCATTGTCAAGTGTAAGCAGACTGTATGTAGTGTACATAAGGTATTCAGTCAGTATACAGTAAATACATCCATCTCTACACATAGCATTAATATATATATACACACACATACATATTAACATATAATTTTTCCAATATAAAATGTTTATTTGCCCCTGCTATGGCATCATGTGTACTACAGCGCTGTAAATACATTAAACATATAACTAGAAATAAATAATACACTGTTTGTTGCTGTTTGTCTATATCTATATCCTCCTGTACACTGAAGAACATATTGAGAGATACGCAGAACTAGACTCTATCTCTCTATCTCCTCATACGTGTCAACATACCTGGTCAACAAAGTTGAATAAGCTACAACTTGAAACAAATTAATTGATCATCATTTATTACAGTATTCAAATCCTGAAACATCACCAAACAGTTCACTGTACAAGCAGGTCCTTAGTAAAGATGACTACACAATTACTTGTTCAACTTGGCACACAAGAATGTTCCCCTTTCTTAAATCTCTGATGTGGTAATGACATTGTATACAACATAGACGGTCAACAAGTTGTGCTGATACCAGATCCATAATTGAGCCCCACAATATCTTTTAAACCAAATACTTATGGAGGTTATTTTTTTGTTTTGTAACATTGATGATGCTTGAGTCACTGTCACCCAAGACAGGCCAATATCTTCTATACAAATGTGTCATGAGATAAAACAACACAACTCAGCCATATAATATAAAAATGGTCCACATGGTCCCAAAAAAGGAAGGTGGAATCCATCACACTTTAAAAAAAAAAAAAAAATCAGGGTGGGGGATGGGCAGGTAGCTCTAGGATGCTATAGATCTCCATGATGACTTCTAGGTCAAGGTCTCCCCTTTTGTCACCTGGAAAAAAAAAAGACATATTATGTAATGGTTAAATCATTTTTGAAACATTCAAATACATAACAATCATTGGATGTTTAAATTCCAATGCAGTAGGTCTATACTTACTCTCGCCTCAATATATTCAATCCTCCTCTCCAACGCCGTCAGCTTCTCATTGAGGGTGGCCAAGCGAGACCGACACGACATATCTGGGGATGATGAATTGTATTTACCATGTTACCGTCAACAGTCATAACATTTCAACAGATAAGGCGTATAGCTTGTAGATGTTGTCATTTACAACAAGCTGCGCTCAACACGAATCAACAACGACACTGTTACTTAATATCTACAGCCGAGAGAATAAGTACTTTCAGATGTTCCTCTGGTTAGGGACAGGGTTCACATTATTGACAGCCGAGCAGACTAACGTTAGCAATACCAACACTTTAATCTTTTAGTCTTTTAATACAATGTTTTGACACATGTTAGGCTGCTAACTTTAATTCAGAAGCTAAACAACACGTAAGGTAACTCGACACCAAATTGTCATGGTCCGAGGAAACAGTAACTAGCTCGCTGCTAACGACAAAGCTAACCGCTAACTGGGAGTGGCCATTTAAAACATCAACATCAATGCTAGCAACACAGCTAGCCGAGCTAGCAATCTACGCAATATATCCCCTCCTCCCTCTTAGTGGTGATCTTATCCGTTGTTAAAAGCTTACCAAACGAGTTAAGAAAGTCGGCGATCTTTTTGATGCTGCTCGTTATTACTTCTATATATTCTCGATTCGCCCAATCCTGGTGGATCTCTCTCTGCACTGGGTCTTCCTGGCCAGCCATGTTGGATAAGTCTCAGCCGGGCGCAGCGTTCAATCAGGAAGCAAAGCGTAGACGGGCCAAGTGTCGCTGTTGCTGTTGCTGTTTAGATCTATGGCTAATAACTTGTACATTTCACAAACTAATGTTAAATAATACATTTTGCGTATTATCCTTTATGCGCATTCAGAGTTGGCTAGCGTTAGATGATTATTCTGCAGTGGTGGAAGGAGGCTACTCAGATATATATGTATGTATAGCCTACAAGTAAAAGTCAAACATGTTACCAACATAAAAATATACTTAACGCTACAGTAAAAGTAAATTAGGCTAAAAAGAGATAATTACTATGTCACCTAGTACCTTGACATATAAATACTTTAATTCTTCAGTCCATTCTCCAGATACGCAAGAATATCTTGAAGGAATTGTGTATGTTTGTATGCATTGTACACAAATGACAGTAGCACTTTATACAACATTAAATCTTTATTTCTCCGCTTTAAGTCGACCCAATGAACATATTTGTGATATGAGCTATACACAGTGGCAGAGTCAGTCTTTTACATCTTCATCAGAAACTCCCCTCACAGGAAGGTTTCAAGGAGTGTCTTCATTGGGTAAATAGGCTGAACAACCATAGTGTACTGCACTGGAAACATCACAAACTTAGAAGAGCTGCAATTTACTTAAACTGTGAAAGTGGGAAAATGTGATAAAACACCCTGAACAGATGTGTACTGATAGATCTTTTTGGCCAGGCTGGTCATGCCTGATATGCTTAACAGCCACCCAGAACGTGTCGTAGCACACTTTACTTGACCCTCTTGAGTAACTCTTTAATATCTGCCTCAATATCAATTGTGAGGAAATTCCTGCTATAGCGCTTGTAGGGCTCGCCATCAGGACTGACCAGGAACTTCTCAAAGTTCCAGGAGACGTCGTTCCTGCTGACAGGACTCCAAATGATGCACTTTGGATCATTCATAAGAGCCATGGCGTCATCGCTGGGGTATGGAAGCTTGTCCTTCAGATAGACAAACAAAGGGTGGGCATCCTTTCCATTCACATCCACCTTCTCCAGGAGCTGGAAGTTTGGTTCAAAGCCATTTCCTGGACGGACATACTTCAGAGAATTTAGGATTTCATCATTCTTGCAGTTCTCCTGTTATTAAAGGAAACAAAATATTAAATACATTATGCCATTAAGTTCATTAAAAGCCACTTGAGGTTTTCATTCAAACTCACAAAATGAGGCCAGTCAGCTTCTACTGCAGTTGCTGGTTATCTCGCAGATTCAGATTTTTACATACACAACCCATGATCAGATATAAAAATATATGGCACTGTTATAGAGTACTACTACCCAACAGTATATAAAGTGATATACTTAGCTCCACCTCTACTAACTACAACAGGAAAATGCTGCTTTAGCATTAACACATTAGTAATAATAACACTATGAAAGGGACAACTCTGTTGGTTATAAGTACTTCTAATAGAAGATTTTAATGTTGTTGATATTCCAATATTTAGGCATTTTTATTGGGATATAAATTGTATAGGCCAAGTGTCAAAACAGACTGAAAACATATGTGTAATTCAACACAGGCGTCCTTCAAATTAAAAATGTCTCTAAGTAGTAAAGGAGTAGCCTGTAGTTACTAGACTTTATGACATTAATAAACTGTACATACTGTGTTTTGTTCTATAGTCTGATGATTAGGAAACACACATTTGAGCTGTTTGAGTAGACACACTAGATCATGTTCTAATGAAATAACATCCTCCCATTAATAAAACAGAGGAGGCAATGTCTGCCACTTTTGAATCCACACATGGCCTACCTGATGTCCAAACTGATTGCAGGGCACACCCAGAATAACGAGTCCCTTGGCGGAGTAACGACTGTGGAGCTCATTCATCTGAGTGTAGTCCCTGGTTGTTGTTCCTCATAGAGACGCCACATTCTCAATGAGCACAACTTTCCCCTTCAGTGCAGAGAAACTCAACATTTCTCCAGACAGCAGCTTAGCTGTCAGGTCGTAAAACCTTTTCACGTTTCCAGCCATTCTCACGAATTTCCGGATTAACTGCACGAACTAGCTCTATGTCTAGTATTAAAAACGCTCAGTTTATGTCTGTGAGAGGGCGGTCCAATGTCAACATGTTAACTTTAAGGCCAGCCCTTATTTTAGTCATTGGGCGGACCATGGAGGTAACACAACTCACAACGCCTATTTAAAATTAAATTACTTGTTCCTTTATTATTATTTTTAATATCCATGAAATTCAATCTCAATAAATGTTCACAGATTTCATCATTTTAATTCTTGAATTCCCACTCACAAGGCTTTTCCACTTTAAAAAAGTGGCTTGTGATCATCAGTTAAATATCAATTATTAACCAAATATGGTAAATTAGGTGAGCTAACGTTTCTGATGGGATACTACGTTTGTTTCTGATCTCTATTCACATTAAAGTCTCGGAAATGTTGTATCTGTCTATAGTTCACTGACTTTTAACTTCCGATTCAGAGAGAGTTACAAACATTTAAAAAAGTGGCAATGATGGGCGACACAATAATGTAGGCCGCTTAAAAACAAAAGGTGAACATTCATTGAATATTTATCAAACGACCGGTGTGAATATCGACTGTACACACATACACAACCAGTAAATCTGAATCATATAAATATGTCTGACATGACAGGAACATGTTTCCTTTCTAAGAGTTTAACAAGTTTATTTAGAACAAAAGTCACCGCCCCCCCCCCGTTCGGCATTAATGGTATCTTCCAGGAAGTCCCGTGCAATGTGCACTCTCTGGTGCTCTAAATTCAGTCAAGGGCAATTTCCAACTGAAAAAACAACACAACATTTTCTTAAAAATGTTTGACTTTTACAGCAAATACAACTTTGTTAAGAGTTCAGAAGAAGCTAGCTGAATAACGGAAGCTGCTCCTCCTGTTAGTAAGCTAACATGTCAGACTGGCTCAGTGTGTGTGTGCCCATTAGCCTGTTGTTGGGGCTGATAACAGGAGCTGCTTACATGTTGTACTCGGGACTCCTCTCAGACATTGTCGTACTAACTGGCTCTGCTCCCATAAAGAAGATTACTTTCGCCTACAAATTCAAAGAAGGACCGTACAGGCAGTGCGGGCAACTTTTTAAGGAGTCTCACAACATTGGACCAAAGCTTTCATGTATTGCAGTATTTTATGACGACCCTACAAAGGTAAAACATTACACACGACACTTAGTAGGATGGAAGTTTGTTTTAGTCATGTTTTCAGTACTTTACTCAATAGTTCAGCAATAAAAATCATGCAGGTTTTACTATGGAAAGTGTGTCGACCGCTAGATGGCGATAATGTCATTCTCTTTAAATGGGTGGAAGATGGATGCCTTATTTCTCAGCAGGTAGTCAACTTCATTTATCCAGTTAAAATGTTTGTCTTCACAGTGAATAATCGGTTCAGTGGCATGTCATGTTGTCTTGACTTTGTGTCTTATTTCTATTTTTTTTCCTCAGCATTTTTTGGCACTTGAGACTTATTTTTGTATGTTTTCCCTTGAGCAACATCATAGTACATCTGGCCAGGGTGTAGTGTGTTTTCTGTATTCAGATGTCATAAAATATTATCCAAATGTATTTTGGGGTTGTTAATTTTAAAGTCCTGAGGTGTTTTCGCAAACCAGAGCTTAACTTAACATCTGTGAGACTCCAAAATGTTCAATATTTAACAATACATCACAAAATAAAGAACATTTCAATAGATACAAAACGTTTTGAATCAAAGCAATAAACTGTGTTCACCTGCTAACTGCATTGATCACAATAAATCAACAAATTGTTGAATAATACTATAGAATTTAATTATTTTCACAATTAATTTTGTTTGATCTGGCTGATTTCACAGTTTAGATAAGATCTTTTGAGTCTAGATGCCAGACTCAGTTCTTTCATGGTCCCTCATATGCAAATCAGCTGTAGCCTATGAGAGCCTCAGTCAGCATCTGCAACTGCTGGTGTGATATGTATGTGTTTGAGTGGTGTTATGGTGATGTGATGTGTTGGATGGCCACAATGCAAATGAGCCATTAGGGACTGTTTTTTAGTATTAAACATATTCCATCGATCAATTAATCAGGTTTCCAGGCTGGTTATGTTGGATTCACCCTCTGACAGTCAGATAACTAGCTTGTCTTATTAGCTTGGGGATTTCTCAGCAGCAGCTAGTTGTCTAATTCAGAATTACATTGACATTGATGTTGCTGTAGCTCAGAGAAGCTGCTGTGACAGTACAGTATAGTGTAAGTGTCACTGGGAGAAAAATACCAGTATGAAATAAAACGGAGCACTTTGAAATACAAGTTATGAAATATGAATTCCAGTAAAATTATTGTAGTGAAAATAATAATGATGAAATGTGAATTTTCATGTTATTATATTATATATTATTCATATTATTATATATAAGTTCCATAAAGATTAATGGTTCCAAATGGGGAAGCTTATTATGGGACTGGAGCTCTTGTGGTCTCCTTTACTGTCACACCAGAGCTGCTAAAAGCACAATTAGTTAGTTGGATCCTTCTGAGAGATGTTTTTCCTCCATTCCCAACCATTCCCTGTGTGAACTCATCCATCCCAAAATCTTAGTGTCCATACGCAGCAGGAAGCAATATCTGCTGGGTCTGTTTTCCTGATACCTAATCCTGAACACTCTCTGGGGTCTCCAAAGCCATGTGGTGCAGGTTCCCACTTTTTAAAGCAAGTCCAGCATGAGTTGTTTTTTCAATAGGCCCCAACAGAACAAGAGGGAATGAAAGGAGTAACACGTTGAAATGGTTAAGCAGTATAGTTTTGATGCACTGCGGAGGGTCTGGAGGTTCAGGTAACAAGGGTGGAAAACAGGGTTCTGACAGATTTGATCTTTACAAATGTGCATCTGCTGTAGTATAAGTTAATATCGACTGTAGAAGGGCTGTCATACCCACAGCAAACTGCTGCTGTGTGGCATAGAAACACTTTAATACACTGTGATAAAATGCTATCATCAAGATACCTTGAATATTGTAACGATAATAGGATAAAAATAATAAAGGGCTTTATATATTAGAAACAGGTAATAGTAATCAATTAGTTGATCAACAGAAAATCAACAATCAATTAACCATTTAAGTCATTTATAAAGCTAAAATGCCTGTTGAGATTCAGCTTCTCAAATGTAAAATTTGCTGCTTTTATCTCATTTTAAACATCTGAGTTAAGGACTGTTGTTCAAAAGAAGAAGCAATGGGAACATGGGCTGGACATTTTACTGGCATTTTATAGAATAAACAGATAACCAGTTAATAAAGAACATTTTTGAAGAGAGAGATATTTCTGCTATTTAGTCTATCATCACTGATATAAATGAGGTGAGGCACCTTTTAAAAACGGTTTCAATAAAAAACATTATAACCTTAATAAACTGGCAGCTCAGTGTGTACATGTAGAAGATACATATTAGCAACTATAGCTGAGCGAATGATTGATCAGTGTCTTCCTTGGCTATTATTGGTGATTATTTCTTCCTTTTATTAGAAGAAATATTATATATTGGAGCACCAATAGGACCAAACATTGTCAAACTATCACTATGGAGGTTTTGAGTCAACTTTACTGTGATATTACCTCTTTAACCCCAAATCTAATATCAAAGTCTCTGTCTCTGAACTATTCTGATATCTACCATTTTGAGAACCAACTTTCAACAGTATTGACTTAAGTGGCACTTTTTAAACCTGCCACAGCCTGATGCACGACAACCTGATGGAATGTAACCAGAGTTCAGTGGTGGACTCTTCCCAGCTCTGCTTCAAAACCCTTTTGTTATGCTCATCCTCTTTTTCCCAAGCCGGCAATTAGGCTAGCAGTGGGTCCTAGTTCCTCTGCGCAGTCACAGCCAAGTCCTGATCTAAGTTAAAATAATTGGCGTAATGATCTCAGCTCATTAGCATCCGAGCCTCAGGATGCCATTCAGTCCCAGCGTCAGGAGCCCCAGAGAGTACTCTCAGATGACTGTTATTTGGTGTCTAAATAGTGAGGCACTGTCCATTGATATTTGCAGTGAGAAAGACTTTCAAAAGTGCAGCTGACAGAGGATAAGTGTCAGCGACGCTTGTCTCATTCTCTGTTCTCTGTTTTCTCACTTTTACCTCCTTTAATCACTTCCTCTGGAGAAACAAAAGACCTTAACAAGGGCTTAAGTTGGTCCTGAGATGGTTGCCATGGATACAGGGCTGGAGCAGCTCTGTCTGTTCCTTCAAACGGCAAACACATATTCTGGGCCCCACTCACTAAACCCTTCTTCTCCACCAGCCTCTTCACGGTTTCAAAGCCAGGGGGTTTCTGACCCAGTGCGCCCACTTCACCTCTACCCTGCAGCTCTGTTTTCCCTCTCCTCCCCATCTGCGGCAAACTTTGGCAAACGTCAGAGGGAGGTAACGGAGGTGGATCATGTTGTTTTTTTTTTCCGTCAGACTCAATATTCCGAGTAAGTGATAAGGGTCAGGGTTTTTGCGGTCCTTGAGACATGGATTGTCTAAATAAAAATCTGGATGACACATGTGTCTGCCCATCTTCAGGGACCCATGTTTGGGTCACAGTGTGATGAAAGCTGTGGGCATGGCAACTGGAGGAGGGGGCCGGTCAGGAAGTGTGTATCAGTCCCAATGTCTTTGTGATGAATAATGAAATAGGAGAGAATCTCTCTAATACTTGCCCTTTCAGAAAGTCATAGTAAAACATTTACAATGCAATTCCAAATCTGTGTGGAAAATACTTTGTATGCTAGTGGAGATAGTTTGCCTTTCTTACCCTGTTGCCTTACCGAAGTCAGTTCAGCCAGTGTGCCACAGAGACATGCAGACATGGTTCCTTCAGCAGAATTTTGGAAACTTTTTGCTTCAGATGAGCTGTCAGTGTATTGAAGAAACATCAAAAGACAGCACACTTGTGTCTTGATGAGTGCAGAGAGGCAAAACAAAGATTGTGGACAGAGGCTTGTGCTTTTGGCGGTGGTTCTTTGTTCTGGACTCCCTACATGGATCCCTGTGATGATTAATAAACCTGCTTGTCTCAGGCTTCCTACTGCGAGCCCCCAAAACATTCAATGTGTCAAAAATATCCTCATGTGTAAAGTTTTCCAAAATAAACTCACAATAAGCTCAGTCAAGGCGATAACTGGATATTTAAGATCAATCTGTGTTGTTCTTAACAGTGTTTGATATTTTATATTTTAGTTTGCCCAGCTCCACTGAAAACCTGACTCATGTAGTGACACTCACTATTATTGATTTGGAGTGGTGAGTAGCTGTTTATTTAAGTATTGTGGGCATTTGGTGGAGATAATCTCTATTTCTGTGAAGCTTTATTGAATCCACCCTTCATAATCTCCACTGAGCACCCAAAGCATTATGATACCTGGTTTGCTGGACAAACAAGGTGTGGCTGTCATCACTAAAGCATCACATCAAGTCAGTTTTATTTATATATCCCAATACCACAAAGCACTTTGCCTCAAGAGGGTTTACAGTTGGTACAGCAAGAAATGGAAGAAAGCTCAGGAAGAGCAACTGTGCATCATATGTACAACCAGGAGTTGTATGTATGTTTTCTTGTTTCATGCTTGGCAACAGAGCCAACGCATGGGATGAAAGTAAGCATTCAAAAAGCTATAACTTAAAGTAGAAGATCGAGCTGCTTCTCTTCATGCATTAAAACAAAATGGCAAGAGAAAAACCATGCACGTAATATGAGCTTGGAAACTGGTCTCAAGTCAGAATGAATGCAGTGTTTATTTTCCCACAACTCTACTCTGCTTGGGAATAGAACTGGAAACTAACAAGCAGACAAAAATCACAAACTCTAGCCGGTATTGTTTACCTTATTACAAAGATGAATAATTTAAGATCCTTCTCTGCAACTTACAATTTTTTCATTATGTGCAAAATATTTTCTCAATTAATTGTTAAATTGTTTGGTCTTTAAAATGTAATGAAAAATGGCCATCACATTTTTCACGAGTCAAGTGTTTTGTCCGACCAACAGTCCAAAACCCAAAGATGTTCAGCTACAGAATTTTGGCACCTGTTGCTTGAATTAAGCTCTAATAATAATAAAAAGTTGCAATTTTCTGCTGATTGATTAATCTATTAATTGTTTCAGAGATTGATCTAACATGGTCGCAGCCTCTAGTAAAGCTATTGATCACACTATAGAATCAGATTAAGAACAGACTCCAATCAGTCTACTTTATATTTAGGTTTACACACTATATTCATAATAATTCTCAAAATATGATCAGCTGTTGTTCATCTACTGATACCACACAAATCTTAGGTCAAAAGCGATTTCTAATTTCTGGCCGTATTTCTGTGTCACTTTGAATGTACAGTTCTGTAAAAAAAAAAAAAAAAAAAAAAAGATCTTCGTCCGCTTTGCCCGGCGAACACCACGCTTCTACCCATGACTGGCCTTGCGTTTTGAGGAACGGAGGATGAAAATAGGCATTCTCAGACACACACTGGCTCTGCTTGAAGCGTAGCATTGATAGGTTTATGAACAAATTGGGCCTTTCCAGCTTATTTATTACACGAGCCTTCAGTGGTGCTCAGCTCAGCACAGTAGGGGGAAAAGTGTCCCAGGAGTATTCATTTGTAAAGACTGTCTCCCTTTTCTTCTTGTTTTAATGGGCACCAGGGTGCTCAGAATGGAGGAAGGAGCAATAATTCCTGCGCTGCCAAATGCTCCAATTAGAGCTCTGAATGACGAGCATACTTTCTGTTTAAATTTGGCACCTGGTTGACATCAGAGAGGATATCCTTTTTTTTTTTTGTTAATATCCCACTGTTTTTGTGGATTATTTTTTGCCTAACATTATTACTCACCAGTCCTCAGAGACTATTTGCAAATGTTGATGGTAGATGGCATGTCAGAGTGGCCCATACCCCCTCCTTCCCTTTTTCAGGGAGATTGACTGGTATGAGGAAAGGTGATGTACAGTGCAGTGTTTTAGTGCAATCAGTACATGCACAAAAACAGTAACAAACATTAAGATTTGTTCTGAAATAGCCAGATAGCATTTTCTGCTTGAGAGCAATAATCGCAGTCAGTGGTGCTGTTGTCATATTGGAGGCTCTGTATAATTATGGCATTAGGAATCACTATAATGAGGAAAACCAGGGAAAGGTCAAATGCCGGTAAGACTACCAAGTGTGAGCATTCTTTTCCTATACATCTTTCATTTCTATCCAATCTATCTATCAGTCTAACAGTCTATATTGTCTATATGTTCTCTCTTACCAATTTGTGTTTATTTGTTCATTTGATCCTTGTTTTTAGGTGATTGGACCACAATGCCGCTACGCCGTCGGCAGTATTCTCAGTGAAGGGGAAAACAAGGCCGATGAGGAGCTTCTGAAGAGCTATGAGACATCAGGCTTTAATGTCTTTTCCTTTCCTGAAGTCACACACGTGGTCACTACCTCTTTCCCCTACAGAACATTTTTCTCTATCCTCCTGAGAGTAAGAAGAGTTTACCCACGGCTACATCGCTACATCCAGGTATTCTGCCTCTTTTCAACAAATCACAATTATTTGAATTTTGTATGTTAAAAACATCAAACAAACAATAACAACTTATGTGTTTATTACAAGATAATTTAAAAAAAAAAGGCAAATGCTATAATGAGACTAATAATAACCATAAAATGGGAAATAAAATATACTTTTACATGAATGCACATAACTATTACCCATGAGGGACAGATGGTTTCAAAGGATCTACAAGCCCAGGTGTCTATGGGAAAAGTGATTTTAAGTCCTATGTAATATAAATGCATGAGAAACAGGATTAATTCCTGTGCATCACAGTTAAGTACACTGTATCGTCACACACCCAGCATTATCAGCATCAGCCTCAAGCTCATCACATACTTGTCCCATGGGCCTCAGTGTTCTCACAAAGTGTCTTGGCTGCACATTGAGTCAGCACACAAAGCGCCATAGAACACTGCTTACAGATATGAATAGTGGGCTTTCAGTGTTTCTATTTTGACTCAGTGCAGGGCCATTAACAAAATATTTTACATTGTTTCTGAATGCAATTTCATATTGAAAATGGATCTAGGTGCAATAAATAACAATCCTAAGCCACCGCCTGTGCGCTTATGTTAGTGATAGGAAAACAGGAAGGGGGTGTGTGTGTGTGTGTGTGAGAGAGTGATGGATGAATCATTGCTAACTCTAAGGTGGGCTTACGTCAAGCAGTAGCAAGTAAATGATCGATATCTAACTGCATGATTATCACATGCACATCTGAGTCATACTGTGTTTTTAAGCCAGCACAAAGTTAAATGTTGTCAAATATTTTCTTCACTATCTCTCGCCTTCTTTGCGGCAGCCCCTGGAGAGTTGGGAAGTGCATGTTAGGTAGTACAGAAGGAAGAGATTTATGGTAGGGAAGGAGATGGAGACGTGGAGTGAACTTAGAAGACAAAGGAGGAGATGGAAAGAGAACAATTTGAGCTTCTTTTAGCACTTCATGATGAATGGTCTCACTGAGTGCAGCTCGAGGGATGCTGGGAAAGTGAGTCATTGTGATGAGCAGAGAGTTTTGTGGACGTGGTTTAATTATGCAGTGTGCTAAAACAGGTGGCAAAACCACAGGTTGTCTCAATCACTCCGCTTCTGCTGGAGGAATGTGTTTGTGTGTCCTGTCTGGCTGGTTCTACCATCTGCTTGGACGCTGTTTAAACCTGGCTCCACTCCAGTGGCACTTAGCCTGTCTGAAAGGTCAGCTTACACAGTCATTATCAAACTGGACATCAGTTTTCTTCACCAGCGGTATTAAATCTTCTTCTGATCTTTGTTACTATACTTGCTACTTTTAAATGACTGTTGTCTCAATGCTTACTGGCCGTGGTTAGTTGTAGCTGTCTTGTTGTGTCTTGTTGAATCAGATTAAAGAATAATAGCTACTACAGTTTGATGGTTTTTGACAAATCATTTTAAAGTATGTAGGATTTCTCCATGATTACTCAGTTGTTAGTTTATTAGGTGCAGATAGCTAAAAATAATGCAGTCTAATACAACAGCATCTAAAATAAATCATACATGACTGAAATTTATAAAACTGTTTTAGAGCGGTGTTGATTCAACCTTATGGTCGTTTTGGATGCAGTTTTTTTTTTACATTTAAAAACTACAGTCCTATTGGACAAAATATATGAAACACTATTGTGTACAATGCAATAAAATTCAACAGCACCACGAACAGCCTTCAAAATGACCACAAAGTTTAATCCACACCTCTCTGAAACAGTTTAAACAAAACTGAACTTCATAAACTCAATAAAGGAAGAATTTGCTGCAGCCTGTTGTATTAAACTCCCTCAGTTTTAGCTACCAAATAAACTTCATAAACTGAACATATACAGGAAATGGGTTCATTGCAGTAACCAATACTGGTATTGCCTATAATTTCTCATGTGGGTGGCTTTCTGTCCTCATCCATTATCGCCCCCTCTAGCTAATATTGATATGCAAAATCCTACACATTAACTCTTACGTCCATATTGACCTGTTCTAGAAGAAAGCAGGCTTAGAATGCAGAATATATATGATCATATACAAGTTGTAAGGTTGTCTGTCTGTTTGTTGGTGGGATACTTCTAAAATGTGGATTTATTTTTATGTAATTTAGTGGATATAGATAGGCCTTAGACCAAGGGGGGAAAAATGACTTATTTGCTCTGGGTCTGGATCACAGCCATGAAACTCAGTGAGAGATTTGATTCCAAATCATGTGGTTATGTTTAGAGGCCCAGGAAATCCCTTTCATTTAAAATGTTAGTAACCTGAATGACATATTTGGGTGTAACTCAAGGTTGGACAGTTGTTCGGTGCAGGTGCAGTTTGCAGCTGTTAGTTTGCTCTTCCCTGACTCTACTCTCATTTGCAAAGTGGTATAGCACTATTTTATTTTAAGACAGCCATGTACTTATTTAAATACAGCTGTGCGATCTTGAATATCAGTTCAGCAGGGATGACGTTATTCCACTCACTCTGTGGTGTCAAACTAGACTATGCAACAGTCTTTTGTTGGGAATATTCACAGTGTAATTTAGTTCTTACGTCTTGCAGTGTCCAATACCTGATCACAGTATTCATCGGAGAATGCACCTTTATGCAGACAACCTTGTCCTCTCTGAGAAGCAGTTGAGAATTGAATCCTAATAATATTATTGAAAATGTTCAGGTATCAAGATTTGAAGAGTGACCACAAAAATATATTGTCAAGCAAATCCAGGCCTATCCCAACCATCAAACTGACTAAACCACCCGTCCATTTTGAAATTGTTAGAGCATTTAAAACAGCCACATTTACCTGAACCAGTGACAATTTAATTTCTGAAATGAAAATAAAAATGCGAACTATATGAAAACTTGTTGAGTCTTTGGAGCCTTTGAAACATTTTTGTAGGCGAGTAACTGCTAAACTTGAAGCAGTTTAAGGAGTTGGAGTTGAAGTGTCAGCTGAAGCGTCAGTTAATTGTAAGCAGGTAAAGGAGTTGAAACCTAATTTCAGGTTGTAACAGAAGGTTGTTCAGGTGTCAAGTGTGGAAGTGAATGTAAGCATGAAAGAGAGTTTAAATGTTGGATAATGTTGAAGGACTGAAAGAGGTTGAGTTGGAAGGCACTTTTACTATTTGTGCTGAAAGCAGTGTAGAGTCAATTAAAATAAAATATCTGAGACGAGTTGAAGGTAAAATATTTTTTATTTTTTTTTAGTAGATGGAATTTAACAATGTTTAAACTAAAACATGGCTCACATTTAACAGAAGCTGCATAACAGCTCAAACTGTTCTAAATGGGTTTCTTTTAGTAAATAAAGCTTGCTGTTGATGGCTGACACTTCAAATATCCCAAGTGGTGAGACCTTTTCAAACAAGCTCATCAGCATTTAGCATGCCTGGCTTGTCATGGCAGAACGATTTCTGTCTGTCAGACACTTTGAGTCGCTGCCCCATGGTCGAGCCTGATATTTGCCTAGTCAGACCATCGATCGGCCCCAGTGTTTTTCTTCAGTGCCTTGGCTTTTTAGTGGTGGGCTACATCACAGACACCTTGGCATCTTGAGATTTGATTCGAGTGTGGTGGCCAGGCCTTCTGACTGGATTGGGGACTGGGATGGGAGGATAATATTGCTGACATTCACAGAGATCTAAAGGTTTGTGAAAGGCAGACGATGGAACATTTGTTCGCTTGAGGGCACTGAAGTTTCTTGCCAGCACAGAGGTTCTGGGATGAATATAAAGCAAGTTTTCCTTTGTTCCTTAGAAATGGCCTTTTCTAGCAACTGACACACATGGTAAAGCGATCATATAAAGTCTTCCTCAGCCTGACAGAGAATGAAGCCTCCTTTTTGGGGCATAAGGTGCTGCCTCTCACAATTCTTATTAGTGTCGTCTACATGAGAGTGATGCAAAGCAGTGCACAGATGCTAGTCCGCAGGGCCTGTTAAACATGCAGACTTTTAGCTAACAGTGACGTACATTCAGAAAGGTCAGAAAAGGTTGTGGGCTTTATATGCTGGACAAAGTAATGGAGGCAGTGTCATCTGCTGGAAGATTTAGATGGAAAGCCTGGTTTAATTGTAATTCTGGGGGTTTATAACTTTGGAAATATTCTTATCAAGAGGGAGGAAGACTTATGCATTCAAACGTGATTTATTCCCATTGGTAAGATAAGGCTTTATATAGAGGAGAAGTTACAAGTTAAATTCAAAACTCCTTAGGATGCTTTTCATGTAGAACTGTTTGAGTTGTATTCAGAAGACGTAAATATTTCTTTTCTGTTTCAGTTGTAACTCATGACACTAATGAGGTTCAGGGATCAAGTCATGTGGTTAGGATGATTTATTAGCAAACTGTCAGCTCTTACATTTCCATCTACAAAATTATAATCTTCTCTGTGAGCGTCTGTCAGACAGGAACTTTTCAAAATGTCCAACATGTGTATGTCTGTCTCATTTACATTCAGTCAAAAATCTCTTTGTCGCCACCTGGCATAGCATCTTTCTTTCACTGACCAAATATGTCCACTGAAGTCCAATTTTTCCAATAAATTGCACATGCCTGGTGGCCTAAATTAAATGTGGAATATTCATGTCTAAACATTTCAATAGACAATTCATATTACTAGTAAATCGAATGGGGAATTCATGTCTAAACACTTAAATAGATACGAATGCAATGATAAACATTATAAATCTCTGCTGATAAACTCTACCCTCTCTATCTGCTACTGATGATGATGATGATGATGATGATGATGATGATGATGATGAGATAGTTATTTTCACTCATAAGACCCCATTGGTTCATATATAGAAATGTGGTACCACAGTTGTAAGACACCACGTTAAGCAGTAGAATTCACCCAATTTATTAATTTTTGGTTCATAGTCAGTGGAGTTTGACATCAAATTAAAACTTGATTAAAATTAAAAAAAACAACTTTTTTTTTTTTTTTAATTAGTAAGTACAGTTACTACTAAGCTA